CGGACCGTAGATACGTGTGCTACCATAAACAGTGGGAAATTGTGGGTTCGTGTAGCCAATATCGGAGATGAGGATATTTCAGTTAAACCACGTACAAGAATAGGAACTGTGTCTAGATGTGAAGTTGATACCAACAGATCAAATATCGGATTTAATCGAGTCGGCAGTGTTGAAGAAATATTTATTCAGAATTGTGACGTCTCAGAGGTTACGACCCTTGATGATAAATTCACTTTACCTGAGGACATTTACCATCTCGACTGTAGCAAAGAAGAAAAAGCGTTAATAACTTCACTTTTCCGGAAATATAGTGACATTTTCTCCAAGAATGATGACGACATCGGAAGTACAGATACTGTTCAACATCGCATTCGCCTCACTGATGATAAACCGGTTTCTCAACAGTACCGCCGTATACCACCATCTCAGTTTGAGGAAGTGAAACAGCACATTAGAAAGTTATTGGATAACGGTGTAATTAGGGAGAGTACCAGCCCGTTTGCTTCGCCTATTGTACTTGTTCGCAAGAAAGACAATACTCTACGACTTTGTGTGGATTATCGCAAGCTTAACGAGAAGACAATCAAAGACAAATTTCCGTTACCCAGAGTTGAAGAAACTTTTGATGTGTTACACGGTTCTGTTATGTTTTCTACCATGGATTTAACTTCCGGTTACAACCAAATAGCAGTAGCAGAAGAGGATATAGAGAAAACAGCTTTCACAACACCCTTTGGACTTTATGAATTTATGCGCATGCCCTTCGGACTTACCAACGCGCCAGCTACGTTCCAGCGTTTAATGCAGCACTGTTTCCGGGAAGAAGTATTCAACATAATGTTAGTTTTCCTAGACGACATCATTGTTTATTCAAAGTCTTTAAGTGAACATATTGAGCGTCTTGACAAAGTGTTTTCTATTCTACGTCAACATGGTCTTAAACTGAAGATGCGGAACTGTAAATTTTTCCAACCATCTGTGCAATATCTGGGACATATTGTGAGTAAAGAAGGTATCAGCACTGAGAGTGAGAAGATCAAATGCATAGTTAATTGGAAAACACCTGAAAATGTTAAAGAAGTGAAATCATTCTTGGGATTTGCGGGCTACTATCGCCGTTTTATTAGACATTTCTCACAGATTGCGGAACCATTACTTGAAATTGCCAAACTTAATATGAAACATCCTAAGACAAAATTTGGTGATAAGTGGACTAAAAGTTGTCAGGATTCGTTTGAACAGCTGAAAACACAGTTATCTAGTGCTCCTCTACTTGGATATGCTGACTTCACATTACCATTTATTGTCGAAACTGATGCAAGTGCACATGGTCTAGGAGCCGTTATTTCTCAAGTGCAGAATGGACGTACTGTCGTTATTGCATACGCCAGCAGAACTCTTCGACCTAATGAACGTTCCGCAAAGACCATGAGTAGCCTGAAGCTTGAACTTTTAGCACTTAAGTGGAGTGTGACGGAGAAATTTAGAGACTATCTACTAGGAAACAAGTTTGTGGTACTTACAGACAACAACCCGTTGAAATACCTTTCGTCAGCCAAACTTGGTGCTTATGAACAGAAATGGGCTTCACAACTAGCAGATTTTGATTTTGAGATAAAGTACCGACCGGGAAAACAGAATAGCAACGCAGACGCATTGTCAAGACTTCCCATGAAAAGTGTTGATGTTTTCAGTGAATGCATTCATGGATCTATTGTTCCTTTGGATATTAAAACTGCGCATTCCTCAGTGTTATTCATTGAATCAGCTGCTGTCACACATGCAGAAACATTTCCTGGATATTCAAAGGATGAGATCAGTGAATTACAAAGAAAAGACGCAGTGATTTCAAAGTGTACGAATTTCCTGCAGGAGAGAAACACTGTTCCTAAACCAAGTTTTTCGAGGAAACAGAACAAGAAAGTGCAAGTTTTGTTAAGGCAGTTAAAGTCCTTATATATTTCTGATGGTGTTATTCTCAGGAAGATTAAAGATCCAAAATTAGGAGAGCTCACGCAGATTCTACTTCCGGAGTGTATGAAGGACTTAGTGTTAGAGTGTCTCCATGATCAGAATGGTCATCAAGGTATTGAAAGAACATTCAACATGATTCGACAGCGGTGTTATTGGCCAAAAATGTTTTTGGATATTAAAAACTACTGTAAAAAATGTGACCGTTGTGCAATATCCAAAATTCCACCACCCAAAGTGCATACTAGTATGGGACACCTTACAGCATCCGAACCACTGGAGTGTTTAGCGATAGATTTTTCTGTGTTGGAAAAAGCGCAAGGATTTGAAAATGTGTTAGTGATCACAGATGTTTTCTCAAAGTGGACTATAGCCGTTCCGACACGAGATCAGACAGCCCAAACAGTAGCCAGAGTGTTAGTGAACGAGTTTTTCTTTAAATTTGGAGTATGCAAACGTTTACATTCAGACCAGGGAAAGTGTTTTGAAGCAGAGATTATTCAGCAACTGTGTACCCTTTACCGTATTAAAAAGACAAGAACGACTGCGTACCATCCTCAAGGAAACGGACAGTGCGAGCGCTTCAACAGAACGCTACACGATTTACTCCGATCTCTACCCCCAGCGAGGAAGCGGAAATGGCCGGAATACATCAAGGAACTTGTGTTTTCGTACAACGTGACACCTCATTCATCAACTGGATATTCGCCCTATTACTTGATGTACGGACGCGACCCATACCTGCCGATAGATTTCCTAATAGGACGGAACACTAATCCTCCAACCGACGACATCAGTCTAGACCGGTGGATTGAACTTCATTCGGATAAGTTACAATTCGCGTACAACAAAGCAAAGGAAGAGATACAGCGTAACGAAGATGACCGGAAACAGAGACACGATGCAGGAAAAGTGAATGATGAGTTGCAGATCGGTGACCGTGTATACGTAAGAAACAGAGGGATCAAAGGGCGTGATAAGATTCAAGACAAGTGGAGACCAGAAGTGTTCACCATTGTTGGAAAACCGTTTCCATCCGTTTACAGTGTGCGTTTGGAAAACGACGATTCTAAGACCAGAAACGTGAACAGGAAGGAGTTGAAGCCAGTTCTCTAGTGATTGTGAATATGTGTGATAAAAAAAAGTCATTTTGTGTTTCTGTGAAATGGAGGAATTCATTGATTCGTGTTTATATCTATATGTATTTATTATTATGTGAATTTGATATTATCATAATCTGAGGACAGATTAACAATTTTCCAGGGGAGTATGTGATATTATGAATTTCTATATGTATTTATTCGTTTTTATTTATTTTTTCATATCGTTTTGAGAAATAAAATCTTAAAATTTGATTAACCAAAAGTTCTATTGCGCACCTGGATTGAGTTGCCTGAGTAAAGTTTTATTTTATGATTTCATTGGCTCTTTCATTTGATTGGTTATTTCCTATTTTTTCATCCAATAATACATTTTCATTATAAGTATAAATTTACCGCGCTTTACCTTGTATATCAGAGCAGTATTACGTTTTGATGAAGTAAGTATATTTTAAATCCAGTGTCCATCATACGCATCTTATGGTATGTAACTTGTATATTTGATTATGTGTTTCATTGCCATATAAAGATTTGATTTACGTTATTATTTTGATTGCAAACTTTTTACTTTATTGTATTTTTGCATTCAAAGTTGTAAATGAAATGAGTCTGTAAGGTTTCAATTTGAATTGTTTACAGAACACATTTTTTTCATAGAGTTCATTTTTCTTAAACGTATACTGTAAGGTAAATTATCTCATATGTTATTTTCTCAATTTTTGTAATTTTGACTTATTATGTACTTTGTTTATTTTAGATCAATGCCTTTATTTCCTGAATAAATTATGAAAACAACATCTGCCTTACTGCTCGGTTACATCATTTTTTATCTGTATATATGACATTTTAATCGATGTTAATCGGGTTTGAAATAAACAAGTGTATAAAATCTATATACAATTAATTATATAATTACTAATCTGACAGCTCTAATATTTAGGCATCTTGGTGTTCCACCACTTTGCTTGGGTCTTTCATTCCCTTGATGTCTGGAGAAATCAAAATTAAAACTTTAAGAGCAACATAATGATTAAATAAATAATTTAATATATTATATATTAATTGTATAACACGAGATTCTTTAGCAGCACTTAATCAAAACAATAATATAGGATAAATATAATAGTAAATCTCGTAATCTTTACTACCCTATTCTTTATCACATCTTTGTGCATAACACATACAGTAATATTACAGCTAAAAGGGCATTAAGAAATAAAAAGAACAAATTTTAAAAAAAATTTCAAAAAGTAAAAAAAATTAAATTTACAACGTTCCTCCTCATTATACATATGAATTCACAATGAGGAAGAGTATTAAATACTTTTGTTTGTGAATAATAATTATTTACAAAATGATAATATATCAATAACATGAAAGTTAAACTTTCAGCACTAGTTCAAAGCAGACCTAGGTGTACATACTTAAATTACTAATGGTGGAGCCTGTTGGTCAAAGAATATCTTATCTAACTGAACTTCAGCAGTATTCAAAACCCCTGTAATTTCATTCATGATAATAATTCTCTTACATGAAAACAAAATTACACCTTTTTTTAAAAGGTAAAATTTTCAAATAAGAACACAGCGAACATTCAAACAATTCAAACACTCATAAACTACACATGTAAAAACTAGGTTAAATTATTACACTCATATTTCTAATGTAACAATTCAAACAATTGTTCTTTTTATACTAAAAATTCTTCTCACTGCTTCACAATATCTTACACTCGGAGTAACAAAAGAATTTTTAAACATTTCTTGATCAATCAGATTTTATTTAGAATAGCCCTCAATCTTCCTGCTGTCATCATCTTTAAAAAAAACCTTGAAAATATGTCCATATTTAATATAATTACCACCTTTTTCGATATCTTTCTTTTCTCTCTCTTTCAGTTTTTCAGGGAATGTTTACAAAATAAGCAACTTAATCCCAAATACAACATAGACAACTACAAAATGAGTACAACCTCTCTAAAATATTTGAATGGAATAGTTGAAACATATATGTTAATTTAGCTTTGAATTTTGCAGCTGAATCATAAATATATCTAATATTAGATGTAAAATAACAGAAGCAATTTACGGTTAAAATGAGATAGAGGCCAAAGACTCCATGACGGCAGATGAATTCAAACACTTCTCTGTGATCTTTCTCCCCAGTTAAAATGTACGAAACTAAAGAAGCACAGTACATTTTATCAGGGGATGTAAGACTATAGTTAATGTAACCTAATGCCATAACGTCCTCTATTCTTTGATTTATTTCATCTGATTTTGTTCTATTTGTTGGAATTGCATACCAATAGAGAAGTTCAACTCCGCGATTGAAAACGAAGAAGGTATTGTTAAAATTGGAAAATTTAATTATAGCCTCTTCACAAAATATGTTTAGTGGTGAAGTTATAGCTAAATGAAGAAATGTAATGGATTGGTTATTAACTTCCAGAGTTAAAAAATGGTGAAAATATTCAAAAAACCATAGTCGTCTCCTCACGCGAAGGTGAGATCCAAAGCCCACACGTTCATTTCGGATCATTTCCCGTAAATGGTCTATACTCTGTATCTGCTGACTGTCCTGTAAAATTAATTGTCAAAATTAGAGATCATATTTGATTCCTTTTTTAAATAAATAAATCGTAGCATAATCTAAAAAAATATTTCTTTATATTCCATTCATTTCTTTTCTAAATAATGATCATAAATCGGAGTATATACTCTAAAACAAATATATAATATTTCACTATAATGCTGATTTTTTAAATGATATTAAAATTTTTAATACTCAGTAATCTGCAATGTTCTATGCAAATCGATGTGCAATCAATAAAATTTAGATGACTTTTTGGTGACACATTGCAACAAAAAATTCTGACATAAAGTAGCAGCTAATATTGCTTTAAATATTTCCTAACACCGTGGTTCTTGAATATGGTCGTAGCTGGTAAACATAAACTGGAATGTAGCACGTAAGTGCGTTTCACTATGAGGTACAATTCACTATTTGTTGGTGAAATGGTTGCCTGATTTTGCAATTGCAGTCTTTTGATTTCCAAAAAATAATTTCTGCATTAGGTTTGAAAAATATGTAAAGAAAAAAATCATGACATCAACAGTTCGAATGAAGGCTTATTCAAGAATAACAATACTCCCAAATCTAGCAAAAATGCCTGGTTATGAACTCAAATTTTTTGCTAGAAATTTTTTTAAAGTATCAATATTTCCAACAAAAATTCTTGCTAATGCAAATTTGTATTAATATTCTTGGGGAAAATGTATATATTTTTGTGGAACATGTCGACTGACGTTAATACAGGTACAGAAAAACATCACGAGTACTTACATGTATCTTTTTCTCCAATGGTACATGTATGTCTGTTCGATTTTCAATACTTTCTTCAGAATCAGAGTGCAAGACTTCATTTACAGGAATTTCACTACATGCTGTGAAAAGGAAATTTTTTTTCAATGAAATAGATTTTTTTTCAATCATATATCTATTAATAACATACATAAAATAATAAATACTTATTCAATACATATCTGTTAATATACTCATTATTTTTCTTATTTGTTTTCTTTAAGCATGCTTTTAATTTGTTTAAGCCACATGCATAAAGTAACATAAACAAATACATTTTATCTGCACAATTAATTAACACATCTTCTAGAATGTTGGGATTGTTAAAATTACACGTTCTAGCCATTCATAAAGCATTGCAAAGGTAAGGCAAGAAAATATAGAATTTCTAATGCGGATATAACAAATCACGAATATATCAAAGTGATTTCACAGGTCCCAGCAAAATTCATAATAACCGAGCTTTACTGTACAATACATATCCTCAAATATGCACATTATTTTCATTCTTAGATTTCTTTTAGCATGTTTTGATTTTAATTTCTTTAAACCACATCCATTAAGTAATATTAGCAAATACATTTTGTCACATTTAAATAATTAAAACTGTAATGTTAAATAATTATTACTGTAATGCTGTGATCGCAACAATCACCTTGCTTGCAATTCGCGGGTTTTGAGATTGTTACTCTTCTACGATAAGGGCTCAAAACGTATCCATTTCAGCATGAATGTGAGACAGGTTGTTTCTGTATACAAACGTGCATAAATAAATGAACGATGTTTATGGCTTTTAAACATTATTTAAAGTTATAGAAAGCAGTGATGTTTTTTACGATTTTGTCAAGCTCAACTGTGTATATTTACAAATCTACTTTCAATAATATGGTACTTGAAAACAAAATGTCGTAGTCTTTATGAATTGTAAAAGATTTTCTTGATTGTACAAACATTTTCTAAAAAGTTATTGGGTTCTTTAAGTTATAATAAGGAAAATAATCAATGTGTCATTTAGATTGCCGACGTGCAATGTCCAGATGCATGTGTACCGTATAAGACGGCCATATCTTTCTACTCTCGTCTGAAAAGTCTCACATCCACTGATTTTTCTTTTTTGTTCCGATTTTATTAACGCCTTCCCATCAATTCGCTTATTTTCGAGTTGAATAGCGCATCTTTACAAATATGTAGTTATGATAAACCAGTATATCGATGATGCAATATATCCAATATATAGGACCTTAATTACTGTCCCATCTGTTTGTTTACGCAGCGACGAAACTCTCCTCAACGAAAGAGCGCACCAACGGAGATAATCTCGAAAATCACGTATAGACTAAGCACTTTGGAGTTAAGACTGGAACATATTGCCAAAGCACTAAAATTACTTCTTACTAAAATCATATACAGATTTTATATTTGAGTTAAATTACTAAATTTGTATCAATCGCATCATCCCCGGTCTTTCCGCCAGAGGAACAACCTCGATTGTATTAACATCACCGGATGTTGTATATTTATACCTTTCCTGTTTATTCAAATATAGAATAGACAGAGATTAAAGTCCCTTCTGTGGTATATTTTAGATAATATCTTTACACTACTTTAAGTTTATCTCCATACTCAACAGATAAGAGGGTGTTCCCACATTTATTTCAAAGTTTGTGAAAAGAAGGTTTGTAATGGCGTCTACGTAATACATTTGAGGTTATTTTTCGCTTGTCTTTAAAGGCCGATATGTTGTGATTGAATTTATTACATCTGCATAAAATTCAACTTTCGAGTATGTAATATAGTTTATCTCACCTTCTCCTTCTAATTCAATATGAAAATCTTCCAGCCTTCTTAAATTCTCTACTAAAGGTCTGCCTGAGGTCAAATCTTAAAAGAATTTTTTTTTTCTGTGAACCAATATATCCTTAAAAGTTGAAAAACAGTGGGTCATTATCACCTCTGTCATGACATTTCCAACCCTTATGAATATAGCTTATCTAAAATGTGTGTATTTAAATTTTCGGTGCTACTTTTCATCAATGTTTTCTTTTCTCCTTAGAAAATTGAGTCATTCGGAGAATTTTTCTTCTCATCCTTCTTGTAACACCGAAAAGCAAAAATAAGCAATTAAATTTTAAAAAATATCCTATTGGTGTATTGTAAAATCACATATATTTTACAGGGTCAATTTTTCGAGGTTTGAGACAGTATTCGGTATTTGATTTCAAGGTTGGAGAAGTTTTGAGTAGAACTGCATATGAAATTTTATAAACATCACCGGATGTTGTATATTTATTCATTTTTTTTTTGTTTATTCAAATATAGAATGACAGAGTTTAAAGTCCCTCCAGTGGTATATTTTAGATAATATCTTTACATTATCTTTAACTTTATCTCCATACCCAACAGATAAGAGGGTGTTCCCACATTTATTTCAAAGTTTGTGAAAAGAAGGTTTGTCATGGCGTCTACGTAATACATTTGAGGTTATTTTTCGCTTGTCTGAAAGGCCGATTGAATTTATTACATCTGCATAAAATTCAACTTTCGAGTATGTAATATAGTTTATCTCACCTTCTCCCTCTAATTCAATATGAAGATCTTCCAACCTTCTTAAATTCTCTACTAAAGGTCTGCCTGAGGTCAAATCAGAAAAGAAAAAATATTTTTTTCCCTTTAAACCAAAATATCTCTAAAAATTGAAAAAGCAGTGGTACATAATCAATTCTGTCATTACATTTCAAATCATTATGATTATAGCTTATCTAAAATGTGTGTATTTAAATTTTCGGTGCTACTTTTCATTAATGTTTTCTTTTCTCCTTAGAAAATTAAATCATTTTGAGAATTTTTCTTCTCATCCTTTTTGTAACACCGTAAAGCAACAATAAACAATTAAATTAAAAAAAATATCCTATTGACATATTGTAAAATCACATATATTTTACTGGGTCAATTTTTCGAGGTTTGAGAAAGAATTATTTATTATTGGGGATTTGACTTCGAGGTTGGAGAAGTGTTAAGAAGAAATACACATGAAATTTTACATTCTGAGTCCGTCATGAATTCAAGGGTCTCTCCATACCTTGAAAACAATGAAAAATTTAACCCCCACAAAAATAAGTGGTTTAATAGTATAACAACATACCACCACTTTCATTCTCTATATGCCTGCTGTCTGTCTGTTTTAATTCAAGATAAATTTGGTTCCTGATCCTCTTCTTTTTATGTTGATCTTCAAAATCTATTCAGAAAATAAATCATATTTTAGAAAGTCTTCAAGAAATCGGCATGATCATGTGACAAAATAATCGTGATTTTTTTTATACATGTATTCATGTAGCACAATATCACTGACAGAACTGCACATGTGATTTTATATAAATGCTTGGTCAAATATTATATCACATGTACGTTTGATAAAAACATAAAATTATATCATCACCTCTCTCCTCTTCATGTATTTTAATGACGTTGAAAACTGAAAATATAAAAATTATTTCAATTCTTTCAACTTATATTTCTGGCTTATCTTTTTTTTAATTCTAATCCAATTTTTACTTCAAACGGAGACTGAATAAATACTCAGCATCCCTTTTATCCAGTTCCAGTTTCAACTTATCACTAAAAACCGCAAACCAACAATTACTAGTATTCATCTTTTTGTGATTTATCAGCTTGAAATCAACTTCTACATTTAGTTTTTGCAATTGAGGAAACATTTTTACAAATACAAAGCAAAATAATTTATTTTAAACGATAAATAAACGATATTGTAGGGCACGAATCTCGTTGATATTTCTCACACACAAATAAAAGTTAGTTTACAGTAATCTGTTTATGTCAAATTTGACCAAGTTGAACCATATCTTAGTACCTGATAACTGAAATACTCGTTTGCAATATAAACTAATTCAAATATTTAGATTTTGAATTAATATTTTTTTTATATATGGAATTTTTTTTTTTTGTGAAAATAAATTTCTTGTAAATTAAAAGTATTGTGGAATATAACTTAAAGCTATGGAGGTCAATATTTGTGGGCAAGCAATTTCTTTTATATTTCCTTGGGATGTTGTTTCGTGAGTATCTCCTACATACAGAAGATTATTGAAGGAAATATGTTTTAGGAGAAATAAATTTGTGGAAAAAGATTGAACCCATGAAATCCACAAACATTGGTTCTCCAAAAATAGTGATGATGCCACAGTAATTAACAGATTTGATTATTGTTCCCTCACCCCTACAGAAGTTATCGACAGCATCCTCAGTCATATGGTCTCTTTCTTCTGGCAATTCAGTATCCTCCACAGGGAGGTCTCTTTTTTCTGACAATTCTTCATCTGAAAGTCGTGTACTACTATGAGGGATGTTAATGTTTTTCTCCTCCATTTGGAGGTGTAAAATTTCCACCTCCTTCCCTTCAGATATTTTATAATTACTCTCCTCCGTCGTTGAGGTTTCTTTTATTTCAGGCATATCCTCTTCAGGAATGAGTTGGCTTCCACTAGACCCTGTTATACCAGCTTCGGACTTCTCAAAATCATCCATGCCACATTCACCTGTAAAAGTTAATTCAAAATAGAATTTTTTTGTAATGCTTGAGAATATCCATCAATATTCATTAAAACCATCGTATGCTATATCATATTACTTAAATTTAGTAAGATTTGTTTACAAATCAATTATAAGTATTTAAAAATACTTGTATATATAAAAACAACTTTTGAATGGGTCAAACAATGTTTTTTTTTTCATCGAAATTGTTTTAGAAAGACATTAATTTTGCACCTTTTGAAAATATACATTCATCAATTTATACACCGACCACAACCCCCCCCCCCACCCCCCACCCCCCCAAAAAAAATAATAATAAAATTGTTGAATGCTCTGAAATTCAGTTTATTTAAAAATGATAGAATATTAAGTCATTGGGGGGTCAAGGAAAAAAGTGAAATGGTTCAGCTGAACCATATTATATATGAAATTATATCAATCTTGATTCAAATACCGTATAATTGGAAATTTGAAAGAGGATTTAATTTTAGAATTATAAGTGAAGTTGCTGAGATCGCTAAAATTGAATATCACTAAAATTTAATTGGATTCCAGTTGTAAAAGTTTCTAATGTGAGCATTTTATTATCGCTAAAATTACTTATCGCTAAAAATAAAATACCAATTTTAAGGACAAATCGCTTAAATTGCCTCTCGCTAAAACATCTACTTATACGGTATCTAGAAAAAAGATTTAGGTATTAAATATCAATGGCAGTGCTCAGAAACTATGACAGTTGAATAGTTTCCATTATGTTTTCATAGGAATATGAAATTCGGTGAAATTATTATGAACAAAAATTATTATGAAGTGAATTTTCAAACAAATAAATAATTAAGAAATAAATATTATGGAGAAGGTTAAAGTCAGATGTTGATACGATGATAATCTTTTATCAAAATGTATCTTTGTAGAAATTATATCATGGTATACAATAAATATATGTGGAACAGATTTTTTTTTAAACAAAGATAAATATGACACGAGGAATAGTGGGACAAGACATAAAAAAGGTAAAGGTAGAGAAATATGACACAGACATAAATAGTTCCAAGCAACATAAATTAGACTAAGTGTATGATTTTGGACAAAAATATAGTGTACAACTAGGAGACTTATTGTGCAAAGAACAATACGAGGTCTTTCCACCTTCTTTGAATTTCATTTTTTATTTATATCTAAGCCGTTAGAATTATATACCATAAAAATCATCCATCTTATTTAAGTAACTTGATATTGAATTAATGATAAATTCACTGTAATGAACTACTTAGACCAAGTAGTAGAGAGGACACATAATGTAATAATGAGTTGAAATTATATGAAAAATCTTATATTACACAATGTAATTTATTTTTTGACTTAATGTTATAAAGAGCTGATATAATGCAATGGAAGATTGGCGCAGTTTCATTGAAGTGTGAGTAAATGTCGTAAAGACTTGACAAAATGTTATGGAAAATTGACATAATGCAATAGTAGTGTGTGTAAATGTCATAAAGACTTTGCATAATGTGATGGGAAGTTGACACAAGTAATTGTGATGTTCTGCGATAAGGCAGTGACGGCTTCCATAGAAGTCACAATTACCTAATATCTCTATTTCCGCTGGGTCCTGAATTGAAATCAGGTCTGAATGATAACTTGGTTCTGAAACACCTTCAGTGCAATCTGTAGATTATAAAAAAAATAAAATAATTATGTTAAATTAATATCATGAACAACAACATAGTTTTTTTTATCTGTAATATTTAAACCTGACAGTCAAAAACTTGGTAACAAGTAAATGCATAACAAACGTATATGGAAAGTTATCAAATTCTCTCCAATCAGAAAAGTAACTATATAATTATGGAAGCTCTAAGCTCTATTTAAAAGTACTTTTTAGATGTGGAGAAGTGTGCATATTGAGATTATTTGATTCTTTGTCAACCAGGGTACCTGCATTAATTCTGCAGGTAAAAGTTTCAAAGACAATGGACTAAACGTGAACAGAAACACTGTTGTCTACTTAGATTGGGAAAGTTAATGAAAGTAATGAATCAAATTACTCATTCTTGGTCTAGTCTATTAAAATGCTACGAATATTTTTATCTATAAAAAATTGTCCTACTTACAATAACTTTTTTTCAGATCACTCTAACTGCATAAAACTACTCTTTAAATAGAACTAGTGAACAGTGCTTAGAGCTTCCTTAATAAAAAAAAATGCTTTATATTACCATTGATAATCTCATAATGACACCTCTGTACATGTAACTGCAAATGAAGCCATTTTTGACAACTGTGTCCACTGGGTCTAATTTGTTCGGTTCTGGTTCTAGTAATCTGTAAAAGCTGAGATGTTTCGCTAGATATCTACTCCATATAAGTCAGCGGCAGCTTGAACTATAGAGTCTTCTGCCCACACACCATCCCGCCTATGATTACTGTTAGAAGAAGGATATGGAGATAAAGAACAGTATTCAATCTCAAAGTCTATAAAGCAATACAAAATAAGAGCAGAGCAAACACGGACCCCCGAAACATCAGAGGTGGGATCAGGTGCCATGGAGAAGTGAACATCCCCTGCCGACCGGTCACATCCGCCGTGTGCTCCTTATCACTATCACGAAATAAGGGAAAAAATCCGTCGTCAATTCAGTGGATAAATAATGGACTAGCAATTGATATGAAAAACGTCAGTCAGGATTTGACTCAATGATAAACTATATTTGCTGACAAGGTCATAGTATCTACCATAGAACTTACGAAATGATGACTTTAAACGAAAATGCCGATATTCTTGTTTCATCAACTTGCTTGTCAATAATTTACTTCGTTTAAGAAATTGTTCATACGTAGAGCATGCTCTTGCTTATCGAATCAACTGAGATATATATACTCCGTATGCAGGCGATGAAAGTATATTGCTGCATAAGTAAGGGAATTTGACAATAGAAAAGTTAAAGTCAACAAGTTTATCATAGAGTTTGGTTGTAAGATTACCATTTGTGTCTTTTTCAAGGAAAATTTACAGGTATAAAACAGAAGTGTCAGACTCTGTGGTATCTTTTATTTAAAGCTCACCAGGATATGTCGTATCGACGTAGGAATGAAAATTACCACAATTAATTGACAATCCGTCGTCGATCTATCTGAATGTCGAGTTGAAGGCCACAGCAAGGGTTTTCTTCTTTTCACGCATAAGATTTTGAATAAATTCTGCTACATATGAATATAAAAATAAGTCTGCTTATAACGGAGCGCATTTGGTACCCATGGGAAGTCCAATAGATTGTTGGAATACCTGGTCTCCGAAAACCACATAGATTTTGTCAATCAGAAACGCAAGCATCTTCTTGATGTCAACTTCAGAGTACTTATGTGTGCAATCAGAATCTGTTTTAACAAAATAATTTTGCAAATGACCAATGACAAGGTTAGCAAATTTACGAGTTCCATTTTTATTGAAGAAGCAGCTGTCAATGGTATCAAAAAGCCTGGATTTTAATTTATCGTTGAGTAATTGTTGTGTATAAAATTGAAAAGTCGTAAGTTTTTAAGCTGTTGATTTTTGTAAAGTCTTGTGATTTCAAATTGTCCAAAAGTTTTTTAAAATTTTTGAGTATTCACATCTGATTCACATCTCTTCTGATATATATAGTTGCACAGTACTCTTAAAGTTTTTCCTTCAGTACTGTCAATATCTTAGTGAAGAGTAACAAAAGAGGCTTGGTTGAACATTTACTGGAACCTGCAATGTATCTTTGTTTGTCAAGATTCTTATGAAGTTTCAGAATCCAATATATATAAGGTAGTTCAAATTCATTTTGGCTCTGTAGAATATTAAAAGTATTCAAAACTGACAGGTGATTTTGAAGAATTTCTTCCTTAGAAAGGGAAGTATTAGTATAAGTAGGATTACCACTTGTAGAATTAAATCCAAAATCTTCTAGAATGCAATTTATATAATGAGCCTTACAAACAAAGACATTGTTGTTACCTGCTTTGTCGGCAGGAACCAGTACGTACTGATTGTGTAATCTATCTAATTCTTTTTTCACTTCTGGTTTAATAAACACAGAAGGTTAGATGGTTTTCATTTTGCCTCTCAATCTTTTAATACGTGACTTTAATATGGATCTGATACATTTAATCCATTCTGACAGGGTGTCAACGTCTTCTTTTTCGTATCTGGCCAATCGTCTGGCGTAATTCTCAACAGAATCCATAATATTTATGAAATTCCGACGCCAGTTGGAGGACAGGGGTTCCCTATATTTAGGACCCTTTAAAACTAGTTCTAAATGTAACTGGGACCTTAAAGGATGTTCCCCAAACGCTCCCCAGATCCCTTTTTTGCCATTTTCCTGTAAGCTTTTTTATAAAATGTGCTCAGTATCGAAGGATTTCATCAACGAATTATAAAAGCTACAATGAGAACAATGAGAATTGAGAACTAAAAAAATTATAGGCGTTTAAAGTTTCAGCCAATCAGATTACAACACACGTGCATGCGCATGTTTTATTATAATTTTTTTATCATGCTATAGATCTTCATAACGTATGATTATGTTCAAAATTTCAGAGAATTTTGTAGAGAAATAAGAAAGGAACTTAAACTTTACTTTCAGCCAATCAGAGTGGAGCGCACATGCATGCGCGTGAGATCCTGCTATTTTGACCATGTCATCTGGTCTACAGTACTAATAGAGCCTTACATTATGAGTTTCAAAACATTTCATGAAGAATAGAAAAATTACGGCAATATCAATTATATTGGTAATTTAACGCGTTGCACATGAGCGCTCTTGCAAGAACGTGCGCGCAAAATGACCTTCGTTCCGCAAATCTACATAACATGCCTACGGACCCTAAAAAGTTTTCACCTAAGTCGGATGTGTAGTTTACAAGAACACTCGCGGAAAAGATTTTCCCAGGAAGAAGAAAAATAATAAGAAGAAGAAACAGAGTAAAAACAATATGTTCCCCAACTTCGTTTGGGGAACGTAATTAGTGATTTAAGGTCCTCATTACGAACTATATTTTCGTCACCTGTAATAACGTGTCCAGCAGGACTATAGTTATAGGGCGAAGAAGAACATGAACACGAAGGAGGATTATGATTCAGATAGTCGGTATCCAGGCCATGTAAAGTGTTTTTGTAATTGAAAAGTTTGGAAGAAATGGTAGATGTATAATTGTAGGAAACACAAGGTGTAGTCTTGAACTAGAATGTAAATATTTCCATGTACAGTAAAACATGCTTATAGCAAAAACAATTATTTACAAGATATAAACAACAATGTAAAGAAAGTGCCCTGGGAAATGAACATATCTGATCATGATATCAAATCCTGTTTAGGCCGAAGGGGTTCTCAGTAGATATGATCACATACTGACAACGTTCATTTCCCAGTGAGCTTTTAACATGTTGCTTATTACTTATATTTACATTTTAACAGAATATTCCAAGAAAAGCTGCATATATTAAATGAACAGGTCAGCAATTTGTGACCTACTTGTTTGGTTTCGAAAGTTCACCTCAATCCGATATTTGAATGTTTACATTTATGTTCAGCAGTCCATTTCAGAAATTCTGTGTACCGTAATTTTTTTTAATCAATTTCTGATTGTTTTAAGTACTCATTTTCAGGTATGACCCTTTGTATTCTGGAAAATGGCAGATCTTATAATTTCAGGGACTCGTTTCTTGCTTCTGAAAGGTGTTTTTTTTTTTAAGTTTGGAAAATGAAACAAGTCAACAGGCGAAAGATCTGCCGAATATTGTTTATGCAAAAAAATAACTTTCTGTTTATCCCAAAAAAACTCCTCTACTCTTCATGGCGTGCTGGTTTGGTTGCTGTCATGAAAAAAAATGAATGTTGTGGATTTCTAATTCTTGTTCCTTCCTCTCATTAACCTTTCGATTTTCTTGCAAAAAATTGCTTTCTAGACTCTTCCAGAAATTAAACTACCTCCTCAAATACGAATTTTAACAGCAAGACCACTAATATTCATGAAATTTGCATAGAAATCTGTCTTAATGCTCTTGCAATTCTTGGCTCATCACAGATCTTTGCTGTTTTTGTTAAGTACATCTTATTGTAAATTTTGTTTCGAGGTTTTTAAGCAATAGATCCAAGATTCATTATCCGTTTGAATATTAAACCAACGTGGATACCTACAATTACTTATATTTGTTGAAATGTGGCAAACAGTACATTAGTTGTTATATTTTTTTAGCAAGGACGGTACCCTTTTTTGATGTCCATTATATAATTATTATCATTGCAATCCACCTGCTCATTTGTCTATAAAACAGACATTGGTTGCCGTAAATTTTACATATTTCAATAAATATTTCTTTGGGAGTCTCAACAAGTTTTACAGAAGCTTTAATTTCACTCTAGTTTACTGATTCTTTACCATTCATTCATTCAGTTTACTGATTCTTTACCATTCATTTTTAATGCAGTGTCTCGAATAACTTTTGTATTCCAGCTTCTCACAATGAAACTATCTGATGAAAATTTAAACATAAATTATTAACATTTATTAAAAATCCAATCATGAGAGAAAGTCAAGCGTAATGTCATATGATTTCTGTATTGTATGTCAGTATTTATTGATCAGCTCTCGTAAAAGCTCAAATTTTCGTGGTGAAAAAATTTTGTTGATTTGTCAACAAAAAGTTTTATGGGTATTTAATTTCAAAGTTTTGAAAGTCAACCTTTGCAATAAATCATCATATAAAATTTCGTAGTGGATTTATAATAGTTAACAACGAAATAAACGAATTTTTACCCCCAACGAATATCTGTGCTTTTACGATATAATAAATTGATGCTTAATAACAAATTGATTCTCATTCTCCCATGAGTTTAAACATATTGTGAAGCTCAAGGATATAACGAATTACTGAAACAAACATCCATAGATTCTAAACAGAGAAAATCATAAGTCTCTGTCGAGACTGTAGCTCTACTGGTTTGTACTTATAAAAAAAGTAAGAGAAAAGTAGCGGTCGGTATTAAAACTTTATAAAAGCAATAAATAGAATAAAGATCCTTGATTTTGTCTCTTTTTGTGGCAAGATTGCAATGAGACTTAAACTGTAGGAATAGCTTTTTATAAAATTTTACGGAATTTTCAATTATAATTACCATGGCAACATCGTTCATCAAATTCAAAAACACGAAAGTGATAATTATGTATCTCAGTGTAGTCTACTTGCATGGCCAATTATATAATAATCAGACTAAAACTGTATTTGGAGTAGCATTTTGAAAGTGTTCCAGAGAAATTTCTATTTTTAATAACCAACGCAACACCTTGAGTCAAAATCAATCAAAATCAATCATGAGAATTGTGTATCTTAGTGTAGTATACTTGTGTGCAAGTTACATCGAAATCAAACCAAAGCTGTAGGAGGAGTAGCATTTTAAATGTATTTCACAAAAAATTCTGTTTTAGTAACCATAGCAACACCGTTCATTGAAATGAAAAACTGATTTACGGAATTATGTATGTTATCGCAGTCTTCTTGTGTGCCAAGTTAAATTCAAATCAGACCAAAACTGCAGGAGGAGTATCATTTTGAAAAATTGTCACAGACGGACAGACAGACGGACGGTAGCTGGATGCAAACTATCGCATAAGCTCTTCTGGTTTCTGACCAGTAGAGTTAAAATCTTGAAATGGCGTGCTTGTAAAAACAAACCTTATATATCTGGCATAATCATGATAATTCACATTTCTCTCAATCAAACGTTGATATCGATCTTCTCGATCTGACATGAAGTTGATGATTTGCTGACGGACATTTCTGTAGTTCTCCTGGCTGCCATACATGTAGAGGGACAGAGATCGGTAAAAGCAGTTCCCATCTCCTTCAATTCGTTGTCCTTTATACAGGTCACCACCTATCAATAGTCATAATATTACTGTGGATCACAAGTTTTTGCGACACCTTTTTTCGCGAGATAGTCATCGACTCTTTATTAGTGTGAGATAATTTTGATGATTTTAAAAAGTTATGCTATTTAATCGTTAGGAATACTTTTGTATGGAAGAATGATATTTTTGCATGCTCTTTGTCTCGCGTAATGACGCGATAATAAAATTCTCGCGATTAAAAAAGTTATTTACAGTAAATCCTATAAGCTTGTGTTAAAATTGTCATGGGTTTTAAAGATAAAACTTATTAAAACACATTGCTTATAAAAATCAGAGAAATAGGAATAGAGTATATACCAGTAAATAAAGGCAGGTTTCAAATTATTCCCTTTGGTGCTTTTAAGCCGAAGGCTCAAGTGAGCTTTTCTGATCACATTTAGTCCGCAGTCCGTCTGTCCGTCTGTCTGTAAACTTTTCATATTTTCGATTTCTTCTCAAGAACCGCTGGGCCAATTTCAACCAATCTTGCCACAAAGTATCCCTGAGTGATAGGGATTCAAGTTTGTTCAAATGAAGGGCAATGCCCTCATTCAAGGGGAGATAATTGGGAATTAATGAAAATTAAGTGGCATATTTTAAAAAATCTTCTCAAGAACCACTGTAACAGGAAAGATGAAACTTATGGGGAAACATCCTCAGGTAGTGTAAATTCATAAATTCATATGACAAAGCCATAATTGATCATATTTATATGGAAGCATGCTCAGGTAGTGTAGTTTCAAGTTTGTTCTAATCATGACCCCCGGGGTAGAGCAGGGCCAAAATGGCCGACCAAAGTTTTACAGAAATATATAGGAAAATTCTTTAAAAATCTTCTCCCCCAAAATGACAAAGCCATAATTGATCATATTTATATGGAAGCATGCTCAGGTAGTGTAGTTTCAAGTTTGTTCAAATCATGACCCCCGGGGGTTGGACAGGGCCAAAATGACTGACCAAACTTTTACATAAAAATATATAGGAAAATTCCTTAAAAATCTTCTTCTCAAGAATGACAAAGCCATAATTCGTCATATTTATATGAAAGCATCTTCAGGTAGTGTAGATTAAAAATTTGTTCAAAACATGACCCCCCGGGTTAGGGTGGGGCCAAAATGGCCGACCAAAGTTTTACATAAAAATATATAGGAAAATGCTTTAAAAATCTTCTTCTCAAGAATGACAAAGCCCTAATTCATCATATATATATGGAAGCATGCTCAGGTAGTGTAGTTTCAAGTTTGTTCAAATCATGACCCCACGGGGTAGGGCGGGGCCAAAATGGCCGACCAAAGTTTTATATAGAAATATATAGGAATATTCTTTAAACATCTTCTTCTCAAGAATGACAAAGCCATAATTCATCATATTTATGTGGAAGCATGCTCAGGAAGTGTAGATTCAAATTTATTCAAATCATGTCCCCCAGGGGTAGGGCGGGGCCAAAATGGCCAACCAAAGTTTTTCATAGAAATATACAGGAAAATTCTTTAAAAATTATTTTTTAAAAATAGCAAATCCATGATTAGTCATGGGACTACTTTTGGATTTAAACTTTACAATAAAAAGCCATTTTCTACTTTTTCCTACCCTTAGTGCTCAGGTGAGCGATGTGACCCGATGTGGGTTGATGGGAGTAATAATTTAATTCCTTAATCGGAGACTATTTCCTCCCATGATACCTCCACCTTTCATCTTTAAAAAATGATTTTTGTGGTTTATAAGATCAAGATTTTTTCTTCACCTTCATGTATGTACATGTTCTTAAAATGCTTGACCTTTATTACAGTCCCATTCTTCCCAAATGGGCTATGGTTTGCCTATTGTGTAAAAATTGGATACTAACATCATCGACATTTTCGACATATACATGTATATGGTTAATTACGACAATAAACTTACTTTCTCTCAATGGAATGGGCTTCATGGAATATGGCTTAATGGAACCAACACATGTACTGAGGAGCACCAGCAGAAGAAAAAGTTCTGATGAGGTTATTTATAATCATGGTGATCAGCAATGGACTCTCTCCCTAAAGTCAACCTTTAATCATAGAAAGAAGCAAATCATTATGTTACAGGTGTAGAAAAATCAAGTCTCAACCGGGAATGGAACCTTGGGCTTCTGTGCTAGCACTCTAACCACTGAGCTATTGAGACTCAATATTTGACTGAATCTAAAGCACCTTTAAACCCGTTAATAATTCATTAACTATACAGAGGTTCACGGCAAGATATTTCTGACTTTGGGCCATGTATTTTAGGGGCATAGGGATATAACATGATGCTCTCACTTGTACAGTAAAGAACTTGAAATGGTACATCTAAATATATTGCTGACTCGAAAATTTAATGATATTAGAATTTAATTCAAAAATTTTTCCACTGAATTAAATGCATGAAAAAATAACTAGACTACTAGAATGATAAAAACAAGAGGCCCATGGGCTACATCGCTCACCTGAGCACTGTGGCTAGGAAAAAGTAGAAATTGGTTTTTTATTGAAAAGTTGAAATCCAAAAGTAATTGATTGATTAATTGATTAATGTTTTACGCTGAATCGGCAATATTTCAGCCATATATCGCATGACCAGTTATGATTTTGCTATTCTTGAGAAGATGATTTTAAAGAATTTTTAATTTCCTATATATATTTCTGTGTTAAACTTTGGTTGGCCAATGTGGCCTAGCCCTACCCCCTGGGGTCATAATTTGAACAAATTTAAATCTACACTATCTGAGGATGATTCCATATTAATATGATCAATTATGGCTTTGTAATTCTTGAGAAGAAGATTTTTAAAGAATTTTTCGTATATATTTCTATGTAAAACTTTACTGGGCCATTGTTGCCCCGCCCTACCCCCGGGGGTCATGATTTGAACAAACTTGAATCTACACTACCTGAGGATGCTTCCATATAAATATTATCAATTATGGCTTTGTTTTTTTTAGAAGAAGATTTTGAAAGAATTTTCTTATATATTTCTATGTAAAATTTTGGTCGGCCTTTGTGGCCCTGCCCTACCCCTGGGGTTGTTTCCCCATTAGTATCATCTTTCCTGGCACAGAGGTTCTTGAGAAGAAAATTTTTAAAAGATACCATTAAATTTTCATTAATTCCCAATTATCTCCCCTTGAATGAGGGTGTGGCCCTTCATTTGAACAAATTTGAATCCCCTTTACCCAAGGGTGCTTTGTGGCAAGTTTGGTTGAAATTGGCCTAGCGGTTCTTGAGAAGAAGTCGAAAATGTAAAAAGTTTACAGATAGACAGGCGGGAAGACAGAGGTACAGACAGAGGTACAGACAGACAGACGGACGCCGGACAAATGTGATTAGAAAAGCTCACTTGAGCCTTCGCCTCTTTTTCTTGTCGTCATGCCTTTTTTCTAGCACCATGCGCTTTTCTTATTTCTTACCAAAAAATAATAAATATACCCAGCCGTGACAATATTCCTTACGAAATATTCCACCTCAACGTTCATCACAAGACCTAGTCAAGAATAATTTTGGCAAACTTTTTCTCGATTTTTGTAAACATACTTTTTTATTTTGAATGGTCGTATGGGAAATGATAGATGCACTGGTAAAACTACATGTAATGGTATTAGTGTCATAGATTATTGCATAGGTAATACTGAATTTTTTGACTGTTGATAAAAATTTAATCAAGTTCATAATTTTTCGATACTATACTCTGATTGTCAAAATCCTATGTATGTAGAACTATCATTGACAATTAACCAGGAGAAGCGAAATACTAATAATGAAATTACCTGTAGTAGAGATCAAAAAGAAAAAGATTTAGGTTAAAATGTCTACTTGCAACACATTTTTCTGGAAAATAAGACCAGAAAAATATTGAAATTGACAATTTATGTGGAATTCTAGACAATATTAAAGAGGAAGAAATCGATATAGATTTTATAGACAAAATTGTACACGATATCTGTAGCATCCTTAAATTAAGTGCAAAAGAAACATTTGGGATAAAAAATAATAATCGAAAATAAAAAAATAGATTTTCACCACCATTGTTTACAAGAGAATGTTACAACGCACGACAAACGTTTCTAACCGAAAAACGCTACCAGAGATATAGAAGTAAAGATCTCAAAGACGATATGTATAGTAAAGAAACAAAATATTGAAAATTGTTGAACATGTGTGTAAACAACCATAGAAATCAAACAAAAGAGAAATTGAAAAAAACTAAAATCAACAAACCCGGAAGAATACTGGGGAATTATAATTCTGGGCAAAAAAAAAATTGAAAAAATGCACCTGCTGAGAAATAATATGATTTTTTTAAAGATTTAAATGCGGAAAAAGATAAAGAAATAGCTGACTATGTTTTATCAAATGAGGATGTAGATATTCTCTCTAATTTACAGTGTAATGAGTCTATAAATGAACCAGTAACTTGTAATGAAATAAAACACAGTATAAAAAGTCTTAAAAGAAAAAAAAATCATGTAGAAGTGATGACATATACAATAACTATATCAAAAGTTCATGCTACATAATGGTGCCCCTCTATCAAAAAATATTCAACAAAATTCTAAACAGTGGTTGTTTCCCCTTCAAGTGGTTGTGTGGTGAAATAATTCCTCTCTATAAGAATAAAAGTTATGATACTGAACCCAAAATTATCGCCCAATAACTTTAATTAGTTGTGTTGGAAAGTTTTCTACATCCATTTTGAATTATATATAGACATAACAGATATTCAGAAGAATTCAAAATAATAGAAAAAAATATCAAGCTGGATTCGTAAAAATTATGGTACAACTGATCATATATTTACTTTGCATACAATCTTTGAACCATTCACAAAGATAAAAAAAATATTGTGCCTTTATTGATTTTGAAAAAAAGCTTTTGATTCTGTTTGGAAAATAGGACTCTGGAACAAAGCACTATTTGATTGTAATATAGATGGAAAATGTTTTAAAATAATTAGGAAAAATGTGTGAGGGTATCAAGGCAAAAATTAAAGTAAATGGTGTTCGTTCAGATACTTTACCTTGTCAACTTGGACGGTGTAAGAAAAGGTGAAAATGTATCCCCTTTTCTGTTCACTCTATTTAAATGATTTAGAATCATTTCGCGGCATGAATGATATAACTGGTCTAGAGAAACTATCTGAAATTATTGAGAATGTACTTCATGTATATATTAAGCTTTTTTGCGCTGCTGTATGCTGAATTGTTTTCATGAATATTGTATAAAATAATGGCGGTTAAAAGTAAATGTCGACAAGAAAAAAAATAAGGATTTTTGGAAAAGGTCGAATAACACAGGATTTATATTTTTACCTATGATGGTTTAAGTCTAGAGATTGTTCATAGTTATAAAACGGAAAGAACAAAACAATAAAGCTTTTAAAGCTATGCATAGAGTGAAATCAAAATGTAAACAACATAATCTTTCTATGGATTGTTAGATAGATTTTTTTGACAGAATTGTACAACCAGTTTTGCTAAACGGATGTGAAATTTGGGGATTTACAACAAATACTTTAATCGAAAAACTTCACTTAAAATAATGCTAATATATACTAGGTTTGAACACAAAACCGCCAAATTACATGGTTTATGATTTTTGTTGAACAAAACTACATTTTTTCGCAAACGATGGCTAAATTTGCTACAAAAATGTATGCATTAGCATGATTGCCTTGGTCTAACTATGTTAAAACATTTTAGATTATTGTGGATTTTTCTTGTTTATGGACAACACAACAGATACACAGTGTACATGCAGCATGGGTAAAAAATGAAATAAAACGAATACCTGTTGACAAAAATATCCAAAAACTGACAAAGTAGTCATTTTAACTCATCAAAGGTGTAAATAATCGTATTTATTAAGAAATACTAGAACCAGAACGATATCTTGTTAATCTACCAAGAAAATTTTCAGTTTAATTATGTAAATTTAGATGCAACATCTTTAAGCTCCCTATTGAAACTGGGAGATGGAATGGTCTTAAGAGAACAAAGGATTTGTTCTTTACGTGATCTTGATCAGATTGGTGATGAATTCCATTATGATTTTGTATGCACACAAAAAGTTAAAATATATTACACACTCTCTCACATGTAGACCAAATATAGAGAAATTTAAGCGACTTTTTACAACAACAAACTGTCCAGCAATGAAAAAATAATGTAATTTTTTTTTTGGTTGTCAAACAAAATATAGATGAAAATTATTGACTTGAACATTAATATGATTGATATTTTGTACTGTTTATAATAACCGTATTATATTATTTTTCTATGTGTTTGTATCTTTTCCTACCTCCTCTCTAAAATGTATGTTTGTACATTTCAGAGATTAAATCATTGTAGTTGTTATTGTCATTAGTCATTTCATTCAGTGCATGCTGATAATCCCTTTGTTTATACAACGTAAGGAGGTGTGAATTCAACGATAAGAAGTCACTTCATGCTTGAACACACGTACACAGCCAATCTTTGAAAGTCAAATGAAGGATTCAAATAGCAAAATAAATCTTCAAATTAATGGATAATATTACAAAGTATAAAAATTATTTTAAGATGTTACCATGGGACGTGTAACCTTTTTAAGTCTTAAGGGATGGGTATTTTTTTTAAAGAAAATGCCTTGATGGTCCCATCATTGTGATAAAGTTTGCCTGTTCTCTTACGTGGGCTGTTCAATAAA